CATTGCTAGAAAACAACTACAAATACAGAGAAACTAAAATAAACCTAAACAGAGTGCATTATAGATAGGTGTTATTTATTGCATTTTTTCTTAGTTTTTAATTTTGCGTTATTTCCTTGTACAAAACCATAATCAACACAGAAACACAATCAGTTTATCCTGTTTTTAGTTTTATTTAAGTCATGATTTTCTCAGGGGTGGAAAATATCATATTTAATCAGATATTATTTTGGTTGTTATATATTGTTTATGAACACAAGCCCTACTAGCTGTGTGTTGGAACAATTGTGATATCCAAAATATATTCTGGAGTTATTAGCTTTTGTTAAAATTTTCTATATTTTGACGCTCCACGAATGTCAAAGGTTATATTTTCTTCTTTTATAAGCTTGGACATCTGGTATTGGATTCTTAGGTTTCATTATTCATTTAAGATTTCATCATTCAGTGGTGAGAGCTGATGTTAATTCTTTCACACGGTTTTTCAATGATGGCTCTAAGTTTATTCTCATATACATGCAGAATGACTGTTATATTCGATGACCACCAAGCTGGGACACCAATTAAATGTTATATTCAATGGGCCCACCCTGGGACGCCAATTAAATGTTGTGATTTTATGTTCTGTTCAATTCCCATGCCAGCTGGGAAATTATATTTCTGATACTTTAAGATGTTTATTGCCCTCGCCAGTAGGGGTGGAAAATATCTCATTTATTCAGATATTATTTTGGCTGTTATATATTGTTTATGAACACACGCCCTACTAGCTCTGTGTTAGAACAATAAATGAAAGAGTGATTCGAGCACTACTCATGGTCAAACAGTTATTTCTGCACATACATGGAATAAATTCACCATAACTTTTGTTCTAATTTAGAGAAATTGGAATGTTTCAAACCAATTCACAATGCAAGTCCATGAGGTGAATAAAACATTGTTTGGCCAAATAATGTTTTATTAAATGATTTTCTTAATCAAGAACCAATAACCTTTAGTCTAATGATTCTT